AGTGAAAACTCGTGTCGTTTTACGATGGATCGTGACTTTATACTTCGAGAGGTAGACTTGCCTGTTCCAAAAGTACTGTTCATTCTGGCCGTTGGAAGTAGCATCGTACTCTCCGAACGTATTTGTTCGTTCTGGCAGTGAAAAACAAATTGTTTCCCGAAAGTGGCATCTTATAATCCGGGGATGCCAGCTTATTTCGGCAGGTGGAATTGCGCATCCATCTTGCTACTGAAGTATTATTTCCGTCGAGTGTGTCGACCTGCTCCAGCTATGCCGCGGAAACAACATTTTCTTCTGCCGAAGTTTGCGACGTGCCCCCCCCTCTCCGAGCATCGGGAATTTCGCAAAACCCCCCCTTGCCACCGGGAACGTTGCAAAGCCGCCCCTCCCCTCCCCCGATCATTTTCAGTTTGTTGCACAGCGCCCAACTCCCATTCGTCGTCGTCGTCAACTTTTCGTCTGTCGCCGCCCGCCGTCGTCGTTCATCGTCGTCGTCGTCGTCGTCGTCCGTAGTCGCAGTCATGGTCTGCCTTCGTCGCCGCCGTCGTCGTCGTCGTCGTCGTCCGTCACCGTAGTCGTCGTCGTCGTCGTCGTCGTCGTCGTCGTCGTCGTCCGTCCGTCCGTCCGTCGTCCGTCCGTCGTCCGTCAGCGCGGTCGTCGTCGTTGTCCGTCGTCGACGTCGTCGGGGGTGGTCGTCCGTCGTCGTCGTCGTCCTTCGTCGTCGTCGTCGTCCTTCGTCGTCGTCGTCGTCCTCGTCGTCGTCGGTCCCCGTCGTCGTCGGTCCCCGTCGTCGGCGTCCGTCACCCTCGTCGTCGTTGTCGTCCATCGTCGTCCGTCGTCGTCGCCATCGTCGTCGCCGTCGTCGTCGTCGTCGTCGCCGTCGTCGTCGTCATCGTTGTCCAGGCGGGCGCCCGCCCTGTGCCCCCAGGGGCCTGCGATGCCTGAATCCCCCAATCCCCAACCCGGAGGTCTTCCTCCTGCGGGAGGCCCACCCTCGCGGCCACCCGCGAAACGCGGACCCCTGGCGGTGCATGGACGTGTTTTTCCCTTCCTCCGCGCGCGCATTGCCGCTGGGGCCCCGGAGCCCCTCCGACCAGAGCACAGCTAGCACTTGAATGCAGTTGGTACCATCATTTACAAGAGGGGAGGGGGGTAATCGGCTCCAAGTATGTTAGCCGCACACGGCTCGCCAGCACCATTTTCTCTCGCGTGCGCCGCATAGGAAAAGCATTGAGTTGGAATGCATCGCCTCGCTTTGCGGTCCGGAATGCAGGTGGAATATTTGTTTTTTTGATATCGGTTTTTTGTGTGGCCCATTTGCCCGTGGGCCACCTTTTGCTTTTCGCGCGTCGCGCGGGCAACGCATTGAGCGGGGATGCATCATCTCATATTGATGAGGCCCAGAATGCAAGTGAAACATCGAGTGTTTGTTCTCAACGAGTTTTCTGGTGACCCACCCGCCCGCGGGCCACCTTGGTGTTCGCGCACCGTGCAGGCAACGCATTGAGTGGGAATGCGTCACCTCATGTTGAAGCCCAGAGCGCGCGTGAAACAATGAGCTGTTCTGAACCATTATTCTGGTGACCCACGCGCCCGCGGGTCACAACTTGGCGTTCGCGCACAGCGCGAGCAACGCATTGAGTGGTAGCGCATCACCGATCGTTGAGGCACAGAACACGAGTGCAACAACTCGTTTTTCTCAAGCAGTGTCCGTATGTCCCACCCGCCCGTGGATCACCGCTTGTGAAGCGCGCGCCGCGCGGGGCGCGTAATGGGCAGGACTGCATCGCCTCAGATTGAGGCCCAGAATGCAAGTTAACCAATTCGCTTCTCTCGCACAGTTTTCGGGTAACCCAACCGCCCGCGGGCCACGTTCGGCGAAGCGCGCGCCGCGCGGGAAACGCACTGAGTGGGAATGCATCACCACGTGCTGGGACTCAGCTCAGAAGGCAACTCTATCATCAATGCGTACTCGACCAGTGCTTGGGTGACCCACCCGCCCGCGGGCCACCTTTGGCGCTCGAGCGCCGCGCGGGGAACTCATCGAGTGGGAATGCAGGTCTTCGCGTCGGGGCCCAGCATGCAAGTGACACAGCATGCTCATCCCGACCAGTTGATCACCCCATGTGGAGGTCCAGAATGCAAGTGGGACGGCTAGTTGGTCTCAACCAGTCTTCGGGTGACCCGCCGGCCAGCGGGTCACCTTTAGGTGTTCGCGCGCCGTGCGAGCGACGTATTGAGTAGGAACGCATCCCCTCGCATCGAGGGACCATAATGGATCTCAAATGGATATTAACCTGGGTTTATGATGTTCGGGGATTATTTATTGACCAGGGTTCATAATGTCTCGCCCGGAACATTATGAACCTGGATTTCAATGTGCTGGATAATGTCCTCTCCGGAACATTATCAACCCTGGTGTATAATGTTCTGGGGATATCGACCCCAGAAACATATTTCCCTAGGTTCATAATGTTCCGGGAAACTTGATTGGGGTTTATCATGTCGCGGGAATAATGGACCCGGTTCGGAATGATAATAATTACCCCCAACCCCTGGGTTCCTCACCAGATTTTTCATGTCGCAATATGGACCCCGGTTTATTATCTCCAGGAGATAGTATACCCAGATTCATCATGTTTCCGGAATATTGACCCTGGGTTAGCTATTCCGGATAATGATTGAGCCTGGGGGCGCCGTCTGAGAGTACGTTCCCGATTGAAATGAATGTTTGCCCATAATGTTGGAATATCACAATTAGGTTGATCATTCCGGAAACATAATGATTATGCCGGGGGGTTGAGCCCGATCCATTCACAGGATAATAATCCATAGGGTATCATCTGAAGATAATGAACTAAGGTTTTCATTCTTAGATAATAAACCACGGTCGACGAGGATTCCTGAGTTACACTCCGAGGGACATGGTCCTGGTGCAAATTAATCAGTTAGTTTGGTTCAACCAGGTCTGGGGTGACCCACGCGGCCGAGGGTCACCGATTGGCGCTCGCGCGCCGTATAGGATGCGCATGGAGTGGGAATCCATCGCCTCATGTGGAGACTTCGACTGCAAGTGAAGCAATTGGTTTTTCTCAACAGATGTCGGGTGACCCATCCGCCCGTGGGTCTCTTGTTGGTGCTCTCGCGCCGTACGCGAAGCGCATTTGTTGGGAGTGCATCGCTTCATGTTGAGGCCCATGCTGCGAGAAGAAAAGCTGCAGTTGCACCCGGCAGTTGTCGCGCAATCCACCCGCCGGCGGGTCACACCTTCGGCGCTGCGCGAGCGGCTCGGGAACCGCACCTGGTGGGAACACAGCGCCCCGTGCTGAGCCCCAGCGTGCAAGCGAACCAGTTGTTTTTCCACAGCCAGTCCCACCTTCTGGCGCTCGCGTTCTCCTCCTCGCGCCCGAGTGCGCCGCGGCCTCGCGCCTGGCTGCGCCGGTGGCCCTTCCCCCCCCGGCCCCTCCCTGGGGCGCCGCACCGGCGGCCGTTCCCCGGGGCTCCCGCGCAGTCCGCTGGCGTGGCCTGCCGCCGCACGGGGAGTCGGTGGCCGCACCGCGTGGCGCGTCGGTGGGGATCTTCGGGGCTGCCGCACGGCTCCAGGGCTCGGGCCGTGCTCCGAGAGAGCGCCTCGAGCGGCTGGGGCACCCGAGGTCCCGAAACTATGCGCTGACGGACCGTGGAGGAGGAGGAGGAGGAGGGAGAGGAGGAGGAGGAGGAGCAGGAGGAGGAGGAGGAGGAGGAGGAGGAGGAGATGGAGGACGGGGAGGAGGAGGAGGAGATGGAGGAGGGGGAGGAGCGAGGTCACCGCACGGTCTGTCACCGCACCGCTTCGGGACTCGCGTCCTGGGCCAGCTGGTCTGTTTCGCCGGCGCCTCGCGGCGACTCTCGGCGCAGTGTCGCGCGCCGCCGTGTGGCGTGGCCCCCGGGGGCCGCCCCGCGGGAGGCCTCAGACTCTGAGGCCCAGGAAAAAGTATGAGCCCCACGGGGGCCGCGGAGTGGAAGAGGAGGAGTCGGGGGCAACGATATGGAGGGATAGGGATAGGGGGGGATGCATCGACCCCCAATCGCCCACTGATCGCCGATAGGGGCCGGATAGCCCCAACCTGCCCAGGAACGCGCGGATTCATTATCGGGGGCCTGTCGCCGATCTGTCGGCGATGCATCGCCGATTCCAGGTCGGTGTTTCCCCCCTACGCCAGTCCCCCCTTATCGTTGCACCTCAGAGAGGCCCCACCGCCACCCAGACACTACGTGCTAAAACCTTACTCTGCCTGCTGCGCTAGAACTCCCACGCCACGCGAATCACACTCGGGGAGAAGATGGCGCAGGATGAAGAGGAGGAGGATGTAATTAAAGGAGAGAGGCTGACAGGGGTGGAGAAATAGGAGGATGAGGAGGCAGTGCTAGCTGAAGAGGTGGAGGAGAAGGGTGAGGGAAGGAATGGGAGGCTGCGTGGGGAGGGGGAGGAGGGAGGAGGAGGAGCATGAAGTGTTAGAGGGGGAGTAGCATGACAAATAGCAGGAGGAGCAGACGGAGGAAGAGGATGATGGGGGGGGGGGGGCACGATGAAAAAAAACGGGAATACCCACGAGGAGCTATAGTGAGGAGGTGGAGGAGGACGGGGAGGGGAACGAGATGTGCACGACGAGGAGGCGGAGGAGGACGGATGATGAGAATAAGGAGGAGAAGGAAATTGTCGAGGCTCAGGAGGGGAGGATCGGCAACAGGATGGGGAGGATGACCCAACGGATGAGGGTGAAGAGGAGCAGCAGCGCAGGAGGCGACTCTGGAGGAGGACGAAGAGCAAGGTGACGGGCAGGATTGCAGTGGGAGGGGGAGATGTGGAGGCGCAAACGGGATAAGGGCCCAGAGGGGGCGGAAGAGGTCGAGTCGGAGGGGGATGTGGGAGAGTGGGCAGGAGGAGCTGGACGAGGACACAGAAACGTTTGAGCAGCAGCAGGAAGAGCTGTCATCTCACCCCAGCCTTGCAGCGCGAGGCGTGCGGTGACGAGCCCTGGTTCGCTGATGCAGCCGTCCGAGGACCTCACGACCGTTGGTGCGGCAGCGTGCAGAGCCACTCCCAGCCCTCATTTCGTCTGCTGCCCTGGTGCGCAATTATCAGGAGGGAAGAAAACACACAGACACAATGAATCGTCGATTCCCCCGAAAACATGGGAACATATGGGAAGTGGGGGAAGACAAACGCCCAGAACAGATGGGAATATATAGGGGGAATCCTGCTATGTGTGTGTATTTATTTGTGTGTTCCAGGGCCCCTTCAAATAAGGAGGAGGAGAGTGATGATGAGGAGGAGGGGAGCAGGATGAGGAGGAGGGAGCAGGAGGACAAGGAAGAAAAGGAGGACATAATAAAGGGAGGCAGGGATGAGCAGAGGGCGGAGGGGGGGGATGGAAAATGATGGGGAATGGGGGGAAGCGCATGGGCGGGGAGGAGTATACACATGCATACGTCAATGCATGCATGTAAGTATGATTCCGTGGGGCGAGGGGGTCCAATTGTGGGTGGGGGGTGTACAGGCGATGGGCGATGAGAATAAGAAGGAGGAGGGGGGAGGACGACGACGACAAGACGGATAGTGAATCCTGGGTGCACAAACGACGCTGCAATACACCTTCCCGCCCGAACTCCCCTCTTCATAATTGTGCTTATCCCAGGACTGTTTCTCCGGCTGCCTTGACAGATCGCATGGCAACGATTAGTTGCTTCATTACGTTTTATGTCGCGGGTTTCGACTTTTGCTGCCCGACCGGATTGGACAGTACCGTTGCGATTGGGCATTGTATAAGCATTGGTTGTCTCATTTTCGCATGTGTTGTGTCGCCCCAGCTGCACTTTCGTCTGGCATCGCTGGTTGGCATTTTCTTGCTTCCCCATACCAGCGTGAGGCGAGGAAGTGGTTCACCGTCCGCCTGCGCTGCCGCATGCAAAGGGCGATACGTACGTCCCAGAGCACGGAGCAGGGGCTGTATATCAGCGAGTGCCCTGGAGAGGGGCCCAACCTTGTGCAGCTGAGTGTGGCGCAGGATGTGGAACTCTCCGCAGCGAGAGGGGCGGAGTTCGGAGAAGCTGGCGAATGGAGGCAACGGGCGCCTCCCCGCATGCTGCCGTTCCCGCTGGGACCGTCGGTGCAGCCTCCTACTCATCGTGCCACGATCCTTTTGTCAGGGGCGTGCCGAAATGGGAGCCGCCCCCCATGCCGTCGGGCCCATGGAGAGCGTGGGTGAAGTTTTTTGCGTATGGGGCCACGATCCTCGTGAGAGGGGGGCCGATGGGCGCCGCCCCGCATGCAGATTGGCCGGCTGATGCCGTAGGAGGAATCCCTTAAGGGCCACGGTCCGTATGAGGGGTGTACCAAGATTGGGCGGGCTCACGCTGCGGATTCAAAAACGAGGACCCCACAACGCAGGCAGATTGGAAACAAGAAAATAGAGGGAGCGGGGGAAAGCAAGGAGACGCGCGGCAATGCGGGTTCAACATGGGGACCCAACAACACAGGAGGGCTGTGGGAAACTCTTCTCACGTATTTTCCATGGGCGCGGCATCCAAGCGAAAGTCCCTTATTGAAGCAGAGTTGCCTCCACCCTTCTCGCGACCGTAGATGGCGGGCCAAGTGTTGCACGTGTGTTGCGCGTTCGCGCTTTACGAATTTGCATGCATTCATGCATGCGGTTAGTGTCACTACGAGCTTGCATGCATGCAAGTTCGTATCTGCACTACCCGCATCACCGCCATCGTCATCACCGCCATCTTCATCGCCGTCATCACCGCCATCGTCGTCATCACCCTTAGCGTCATCACTGTAGACGCCGTCACCAGGGGCACCACCATCGGTATCATCGCCACCATTATCGCCATCAGCAAACGCATCACCGTCACCGCCGCCATCATCATGACCGTGGCCAGTTTCATTCGAACGATTTCGCGCACGTTTTTCGCAGGCCGTACAAAACAAACTACACGTGGCAGCCAGGAGCCGTCATTCAACGATGTCACGTGGCAGCCAGGCGCAAGGCCGTCAGCCAAGACCTTGGGCGAAACGCAACAGCCCCAGCTCGCAGTGTTTCGAATGCGCCTTGCCAGATGTGTTCAAGATATTCGGTAAGCAACCAGGAGCGAAGAAAGGGATAGCATCGGTACACTTGGACCGCGCCGCGCGGCCAGACCTGGCGAAAATGGTTTTCATTTGGCATCACAGCGCCGCGTTACGTTGCGCAGTGTTGCGGTTTGTCGCGGAGGGAGCAGGTTCCGTTCGCCATTTTTGCACGCGCGTTGGGGTCTCACACAAGCGAGGCCCGATCATGCTGTCGGCCAGCCCTATGGGCAGGAAAAGCCAAGTTCGCAGTTCATTGTTCGCACTGATTTTTGGGAGCGGTCACGATTGTGCCAAAACCTTGGCGCGGATTTGAACATGGACGACACGATGGATCTCTCCGCGGATGAAGCGCCGCACAGATTCTCCAAGAAGAAGGACCTCGTGCTCCCCAAGAGCGCCAGACCCGGTTTCGACGTGAGTAATAAGTGGAATTGGTTGCGACTTGGAAAGTAGAGCAAGGAGTTGTTGTTGAAGTGGTCCCAGCCTCGGCCATGATGGCCATCGTCGATCCCATGAACAGAATCGCGATCCAACCGCCCACCGAGATGATGAAGCAAAGTTGCGCACGCTCCGTCCATGAACTTCTTATCTGAACAGAGAGACCGATGTGAAAATGCACCGCAGGAGCACAAGCGACGCGGAACATGTCCAGGCAGCGCATAGGCTGCAACAAGTTGCCCATTCATTGAAGGACATCCAGGCGGACGATGAGCCCAAGGCGCCACCCCAGGCTGTCAGACAGGAGAACACATTCAGCAACTGCAGCCACCCAGCCAGGATAACGCCTCGAGCAGATGCAGCGTCTCACCAATGGATCCAGGTCAGTTTTCCTTCCTCTCCATATGTGTGCGCGCATCCTTCTTCTGCCCCATATCGTCCTCCTCCTCCTCCTCCTCCTCCTCCTCCTCCTCCTCCTCCCCCTCCTCCCCTCGCCCCCCTGCCCCCCCCCCCCGCCCCCCCTCCGGGCGCCCCCGCGGCCCGAGAGCCTCGGCGGTGCGGCGGCGGCGCCGCCGCCCGAACACTCCGCCGCGAAGGCGAGATTGACGGGTCGATTGCAGCTCCGATGGGGAGGAAAAAGTTAGCCAGGAGCACTCCACGCGCCAGTCGCGGGGGCGGCTCGCCCCCGCGCTTCCACCGCCCAGCGCAGCGCCGCCGCTGCTCCGGGCGCCGCCCCAGATGGCGCAGCCCCAGGAGGCGCCGCCCTAGAAGGCGCCGCCCCAGACGGCGCCGCCCCAGACGGCGCGGCCCCAGAAGGCGCCCCCCAGCGGCGCGCCAGGCCACCCCGGCGGCCGAGGCGCTGCCCCAGGGGTTGGCGGCGAAGGCCGCGTTCCAGGGCGGATGGGGCCTCGCGCGCGTTCCCCGGCCCCGCCGAAGAGGAGCGGGCGCGCGTCTTGGCCGCCATAGAGAAGCGATCACAGGGCGCTCCGAGAACAACGTTGCTGATGTCGGCCCAGAGCACGCGGGGCTTCTCGCGGCCGCCCGCAAGCTCCAAACGCAGTTCGTCATCGAGCACGGGAAGCTTGCCAAAGATGCCCATCGCCGGGCAAGCTCGGAGGCGAGGTTCGGCGGCGGCGCGGGCCGAGGATTCAGCGTGGAGAAGCAGATCGGCAGGCGCCAGAGAAAATCCGAACTTTGACCGGATATCTAATTCGATTGCGGGGCGCAATTAGCGCGGCGCGGCCGGGCAACCGGGGGCCCGTTCAAGGGGCAGGGGTCGGCCGTCGCGCTAGAGGTCTTCAAGTCCACGGGTGCCCATGCGGACCCCGCCCCGGATGCGACCCCAGCGGTCGCGGGCAAGGTCGCGATGGCCATCCATCGCCCGGAAATTGTCGCCCATGGCCACGGGCCCCGGCAGGGTCGAAGGTACGTTCAGCGCGAAGCTCGCCGCGCGCTCTGGGAGAGCCCAGGCCCGGCGCCAGGGCAAGCGCGAACTGGCATCAGGGAGAAAGAGGTGACCGAGATGGGGCGCGGCTGGAACGATGACCAATTGGCCAGGTGGCGGGCGGTTTTCTACGGCTTCGAAGACAGGTGGGATCCCGGCAGAGGTTCGCCAGCCGATGGGGGGCGGCGGGGCACGGAGCGCGCGCGCGCAGCGGGGCGGGGGGGGCAAAGGAAATGAGGGGGGGGCAAGGAGGGGGGTGAATAGGGAGGTGGGTACGCATGCAAGCAAGTAGGAGTCCGTACGCAAACGCACGCACGCACGCACACACGCGCGCGCGCGCGAGCGCCCGCGGGGCCCATCTTCCATGGACAGACACCGAGGGCTGGGCCGCCCCGCCCCACGCGCGCAATGCCGCGTCCGCATCGCGGCGCGCCGCGAAGGCGGCCCAGGCGTTGGTTCCGAAGTCAGATTTCAGCTTCCGGGCCGAGGGTGAGCGACCACATCGTCAGCGGGCGTCGCGCGTTGCCCGCGCCCGTGGCGGCGCCGGCCTGGCCGAGGTCGACGCGGCCCGTGTTCTGCTGGATGCTCGGGCGGAGATGGAGGCTAGAACGCCGCTTCTGTCGGCGGCGGCCGCCGGCCTTGCAGACGCGCGCGAGCCCCGCTTCGCGCGCGGCGCCGAGAGGGGCGCTGCGGACGGTCGTGGGGAAGGCACGCCTCGGTGAGCTCTCGCGTGCTCGACATGTTGTCATCGGAGTCTCAGAAGCAAGTTCCGCGCGGACGCACGCGCGGAGGGGCGCGGGCGGTCCGGGGATCTCGGGCAGAACAGGACAAGCAACGACGCGATCCCTCGCCGCGCAATGGCCCCCTCAGACTCGCAGGGCAGCTGCCCACGACGCCAGCATCAGTGGGAGCATCGGGACGACCATATGCGCAACCGAGAGGATTTGCGAGAGGAGAATCGCCAAGCGAGTCGGCGGGGGCAGGGCCACCACCGCTGAACAGTCAGCTCGCGCGCGGGGCTCGGCTATCACCCAGGTCTCCAGC